GGGGGCTCACTGCCGCCCCGCGTGCCTGCGGGACTGGGCAAGGCCTTAGGGACCACAGCGTCACTCGGGGCCCTTGGGCTTGGCAGGCTCTTCCCCGCCCTGCGCTCCTGCAGGAAGTGAGCCGCAGCCCTGGCAAGACTGGGGCTCACCCGGGGCGCCCAGCACCCTCCCACTACCCTTGCCTGGGGCAGCCCGGCCACCGGCTGCAGGAGACTGTGTAGGAGGCGATGATCAGCAGCTGGGGGTGTCACTGCAGCTGCCTGTGGGGGCGGGCCGGCTCCACCCCTCAACTTGCCCACTCTTGCTTTCCCCTCACTACAGCACAAAGGTGCTGAGAGGCCCCCCAGCTGAACGGCTCTGCAAGCTGCACCCCCACATACCCCGGGGCTGTTCCCCTGTGTCTTCCGTGCAGTATTGGCCTGTGTGCTGTTCTAGAAATGTAGTGATTTTCATGGCCCAAGGACCTGCCTCCCTCAGCGGGCTGCAGATTTCTGCAGGTGCTTTTGGACCCTGTGGGCCTGGACTGTCACCCCCAGGGTGGCTGGGACCCTACTGTCCCCCATGACTCAGGTACCCTCAAGTCTGAGAGAGATCAGAGCAGGGGGTAAGCGCATATCTCCCCTGGGGCCCCCTGCACAGGGCCCCACACAGAGCTACAGGTGGGGTGCCCCTCGGCGCCCCAGCTGGGTGCCCCACCAGCGCAGGCTCTCAAAGGTAGCTGGAGGAGGGAGGGCGTTAAGGTCACCTCCCAGTGGGATGACAGCTGCTAGCTATTCTGGCTGCTTGCAGGGCAGGCCGTGTGCCCGCTGCCACTGACCGGCAGCTTGGCCAGCGCTGAAACGGCGGGTGTGGGTCGGGTCAGTGGGCCCAGGCTGTGGCCAGGGCCTCAGAGTTGTCTCTGGCTGGCCCAAGGTCCAGACACACACCACACCCTGTTGGCGAACTGGAGGTCACAAGGGGCTCGAGCACCCAGTGAGCCTGGGGGTTGGGGTTCGTTTTTATTTTATTTCATTAAAGATTTATTCATGCAGACAAGAACTAGGGTGCAGGCCAGAGGTGCAGGAGGGTGAGAGGATTCACCAGAGTCAGAGTGGGGGGCAGAACAGGCGGGTCTGCTGCGCCCTGGGGGTCACTCCCTGGCCGGGGATTGAACTCATGCCCCCGTGGCTGCGCCAGCTTGACAGGGCTGAGGCTAAGGCGGTGCCCTTGGAGGGCCGGGCTGGCTGTCAGATGCCGCTAGACTTCCGGCAGCCGCTCGCACTTTCTCCTTCGCAGTCTGAAAGCTACTTACTGGGTGAAATTTTTTTTAAGTTTTATTTATTCATGCACACAGAACTGGGGCACAGGCCAGAGGTGCAGGGGCGGTGAGAGGCTTCCCCAGAGACAGAGCGGGGAGCAGAGCAGGCAGCCTGGTGAAGCGCACTGCTGCGGGGAGCAGCGGATACGGGAGAGGTCTGCCGCTGCAGGCTGCCCCCTCTTTGCCGGCAGATCAAACTCGCACTGCAGCGGCTTCCTAGTGCTGCTTTAGCCGCACCACGAGGATGGCCAGGGTGGAATTTTTAATGCTAAAGATGGGAAAGTTCCATAGTAAAGAAAGTGGGGTCTGGTGCCCAGCACTTTCTCACACTCCCCTGTGGACAGGGTAGAAAGTCTGTATTTTAGAAAGCACGGCTGTGGGTTTGTGCCCCACGCTGGGCTTTAGCGAAAGGAAGGTCACACACAGGCCCAAGGGTCCCTCTGGGGGGCTCCTGCCTCCGCCCCCACCTGCCCTTCCCGGACCTCACTGTGAGACAAGGCTCCCCAGCCCGCACCCCACACCCTGGTGGGGGCCTGCGACAGAAACCAGCCGCATCCTGGGCCCAGAAGCTCCGCAGGGCGGTCAGCACAGTGCGGAGGCCCCAGCAACACTCCCAGGGGATCTCAAAACAAGTGTGTCGTTTCTTTTCAAATCTGAAAATAAATGTGACGTTTTAGTCTAAATGTTTTATTACTGGACGTTAATATCACTACGGCCCAACACAACAGGAAATAAAATCTTGGCGCTGCGTGCAGACACTGGGGTGGCTGGAGGCGCTGCCCACCCGCACGCCCCTGGCCGCCCAGGAGGGCGGCTGTCCGCAGGGCCCTCTCGGAGCCCAGGCCTTAGCAGCAGAAAGGGGGGTCAGACCCTCACTCCTTGGTTCCCACCTGGAAGAAGCCCAGAGCTGCAGCGGAAAAAGGAAAAAGCTTCCATGGGGCGCGAGGGCGCGGAGGGCCACGCAGACCCTTCTCAGGGGCCAGCGTGTGCCAGCGGCAAAGTGGCCTGCGCGGGTTTCCGGGCTGAAAATGACAAAGCCCAGTGCAAGCCAGAGGTTAGGAGCAGGGCGGAGTGGAGAAGTGCCAGGCTCCAGGCCGGCCGCTCTCCCGAACCTCCGGAGCCGGGACACCCCTATTGCGTTGGGGGTCTGGCCAGTCCCGCGCAGCCGCCCCCCTTGCGGCCAGAGCCTCGAGGCCAGGGAGGGGGCCTGGGCCCCGCAGCCCTGTCCGGGCCGCCTGGGCGTCGGACCCAGCTGCCCACAGCCTGCGGCTCGAGGGCTGCGCGCAGTCTGCTCGCGGAGGCGATTTCGCAGTCGGTTCAGGAACCAAGTGAAGGCGGGTTCCCTCGGGCAGGGTCTCTCCGCGGCGCGCAATCGCGCAGCTCCGCGGGGTGGCGCGGGTAAGCTCCCCGGCGCGGGCTTCCCACCTGCGCCCCTCGGCGCGGCGGC